GAGCATGACGTCTGAGAAACGAGCGCAGAAATTCCATACTGATGACGCGTCACTACCCAGATCTGGGTAGTGCTTCTGATTGGTCGTGCCGTTCGTGAAATTTGGTTTAACCAATACGATTCACTACCCAGATTCCTGGTGAAATATCGGCTGTTTTCTCCGGCGAGAAATTGCTTTTCTCGTACAGTGAAACCTGTATTAAGCGGACACCGTATTAAGCGGACACCCTCTATTAAGCGGACAGTACCCGAGGTGTCCCAATTTATCTTCCTCATTTGCTTTAAATGAAACCTTTATTAAGCGGATACCTCTATTAAGCGAGCGCTGACACCTAAAAAGTACCTGAAATGGTCATTTCTATTGTTGCCAACCTGTATTGAACGGACACTTGTAATTAAGTTCCACCTGAAATCTATATTAAGCGGACACCGTCGGGGAATGCTGTAGTGTCCGCTTAATACAGGGTGTCCGCCTAATACAGGTTTCGGTAGATAAAGCCATATGAGGAGTCAAATGCCATTCAAATGAACAGTGGAAACGTTTAGAATACTCCCAGAGACTGTGAAGTGGACCAATTGATCATAGTACCTTAAACATAGAGAGCAACTCAAATTTGAAGAAATCAGATGAGTGATTCAAGCTCTATACAAACAAAACGAAATAGAAAACAATACTGTACTGTACTGTACTGTGCTGTACTGTATTCAAAGATGGGTGACGCAAATTAAATTATTAAATTATGTAAAAATCCAAAAATTTGTGGGTAGCAATCTTTCGCATTTCCGGTGTCTGGAATGTTGGGACTGTATTTAAAAATATTATTCCGAACGAAGAGAGTTTATAATCTCTGCTCGCGCGCGCTTTGCGCAACACGTGAAGCGCGCGTGGTCTTAGCCAGCTGCAAATTGGATGCCCCATCTTTCTTTCTTTCTTTGAACATATCGCTTGGTGTCCGTCAATGACGTCATATAGCATTACCATCATGGAGCATTTTCTGTTTCCAGGTAACATAGACTTTGCCGCCGATAACCAGGCCGCACTTTGATGTTTTATTCATGAAGGGCTGATGTGTTTATTCATACGATCGGTGAATCACGAGCAATTTCCCATGCAAATGACACACATCACCAAGCACAACAAGTGGCTGCAAATCCTTGCCGGGAAAGATTCTCCACCGAAACCCCTCTCGAGCGAGAACGCCGAATTTAAATTTAGCGTCAACAACGAAGGAGAAGACGTCAACAAGAAACCGCAGAGCAGAGGAGCAGAGTAAACATCGCTTAGCACAGCGAAGGCAACGCCGACAACAAGAGACAGAGGAACAGAGGAACAGAAGATTGGGGCTCCCACTTTTTTTTTTCCTTTCAGTGCTGCTGATAACTATATTGGCCAGATTTACACCGACTTCTACCAGGGCCAAACAATGCAGTACCTTCTATTCGAATAAGGGCTGTCATTGATAATCCTCACATCACAGATGCTTACTTTGTTTCACGGTTAAATGAATTTTGGACTCATTGGCCAGATTACGAAATGGTGGGTGTCGAATGGAAATGGCTTCGCTTTCAGTGGCAAGCACGTGGCAGTATCCATGCGCATGGGTGTGCAAGCTATCCAATAAGTCAGGCCTTTGCAACCTTGTAAAGACAGTAGCCCAGGGTTGGAAGCTGGAGCAAACTTGACGCCTCCACGAACAACATCCAAGTTACCACCAGATGGCTAACGACGTCCAACTTCAGATACAAGCAGAGCAGGAGGCACAAGCAACCGTAATATCGTATGCTGATTGGCTGGTAACAACTATAAATGATGCACTTCCAGAACAACTGGACCGTTCCATCACAACATCCATCGGCAATATCAATTGAAAATGTACAGAATTTAGATAGAGACTACAAAGCCCTTGTTAATTCAGTGGAGCGCTATACAAAGTGTAGTACAGCATGCTGCATTAAGATTAAACCTGGGAAGCAGCCAACATGCCGATTACATTTTCCAAAGGATTTCCAGGATGAAACTTCTATTGACTTTAAACTCTTCAGGCCAACCAGAAGTGAAGACCGTGAATTAACTGTAGAGGAAATCAGCCAGGCTAGAGTCAAAGCAACACTAACCACAAAGCGAAATGATAAAAGAATCAACTCCCACAACCATGTTATGCTACAACACTGGAGGGCCAATGCTGATCATCAAGTCATCGTTGACACTAGTACACTGACCAGTGTATCCGGTACATGGCAAAGTATGCAACAAAAAAGGAACCTCGCTCACGGTCAGCATCTGAAATTCTCAGTGTGTGTGTTAAAAGGCTCAGCAATACAGACAAGGGTACACGTGCATTGTGAAGAGCAATGATTCAAGTTGCTGGAGAAAGTGACGTATGCTTCTTGGAACACACTTGTATTCTTCCACTTACTAATTTCTCTATTTGTCACGTTATAATGGAGATGAACATGAAGATGACAACAGTTATAAGAATTATGATCACAATGATGAAGGTCCACATCGTGAAGAAGAACCTCAGGAGTAGATGCTGCTATGTCACCTCAATAAACGCTATGATAAAACAATCTCACAAAGAAGTCAATCACATGAAGACTTGCAGTTTGATTGGACAGAACTGGCAGAGCAATGCCGCTTCATCTACTTCGGGAATCTGCTAACTGGATCACAAAACAAAGAAACGATACTCTAGAGAACGCAACCATTTTAAATAGACGACAGCAACAAACTGTTGACCCAGCACAACTGAATACACAACAGATACTACTTATCAAGCAAAGCGAAATGATGCAACCCTGAAGAACCATTTCAAGTCATCATTACAGGGACAGCAGGATCAGGGAAGTCTTATCTTATTAGCACAATCAAGGCACTTCTAGGAGACACATGTATACTCACAGGCACCACTGATTTGACAGGCTGTACCTTACAATGAGCATTACAGCTACCGTTTCGTAATCATAATAATAATGAATTGCAGGGAACAGTATTTCAGCATCTGTAACTTCGTTTCTCCGGAAAGCACTACCTTATTACGGATGAAATGTAAATGCTTGGTCAGCAGACACTGGCTTGGGTCGATAAGCGCCTATGACAAGCAACATCCGAACTTTATGAACCTTTTGGAGGGATTTCTGTTATGCTCCCTGGAAATTTTGCACAGCTACCACCTGTTGGAGAAAAGCCTGTTTATGCTTTCCCATCCCAGTCCAGTTCTTTACTCGCACAACATGGACCCGTCATTTATGGTCTTTTTCAAACAGTTGTTATGCTTTCGGAAATATTCGACTGACTGGAAACAATCCTGAGTCAGAACAATTTCGAGCAATTCTCCTTCGCTTACGAGATGGTCAGACCACTCAAGATGACTAAATAACACTGTCAGAGGACACAACAGCACGTAAACGTGAGTGACTTTACAGATGCATCGCGATTATATTTTGACAAGCTTAGTGTGGCAAAATACAACTTTGAGAAGCTCGAGAGCCTTGGATCGTCAATAGCTCGTAAATCTGCTCTTCATTCAGGTTGAAATGCAAAGAACGCCACATCAGACGATGCTGGTGGCCTCGGTTATGCTTACATGCAACCTTTGGCAGGAAGTCGGGATGTGTAATGGGGCCATTGGTGTAGTGGAGGACCTACTCTTTCATCACGATCGCCTTCCACCTTGCCTACCCATTCCAGCACTCGTGGAGTTCGCAAACTACACAGTTCCCGTTTTTTAGCAACAAACCCTAACACCCTGCCCCTACCACTACACTTATTTGAATGGGAAACTGATGGGCAGAGACTTAATAGACAGCAGCTGCCACTGAGACTGAGATATGCCATGACTATTAACGAATCGCAAGGTCAAACATTACCTCAAGTTGTGGTGGACCTAAGACAGGAAATCTGCTCCTTACAAAATGTAGTGCTCCAGCCGATATCCTTTCAAAGACTAGAATCAATTGGAAAGAGCAAGCGATTACAGGAAAGGCTTCAAGAAGAACGCAGGTTAAGAAATCTTGCAGAAGTTACCGCAGTTCGATATCAGCACCTTTAGTCCATTGTTCGATTTCAAGGACCTACATCTCAAGGCAATTTATTTAACAAACCTTGCATTTACTTTTACCCCAAAATAAACTTAAACCAACAGCATAGTTCAACAATTCTTAGTCAGTTAGATAATACAAGAAAACAATCGGCACACTTTCAGGTGACTGTCGATTCTAGCATTGGATGGGCCACCCACCCCAACGCTTTGTGAGGTTCTGCGATACACATATTTCTAGTTACTATTATTCAGCCCTCGAAGGGAGATTTCGTATCATCGCGCGACCATATCCTCTGTAATATCCTCTATATATCAATGTATTTCTGTATTGATATATAGAGGATATATCATGGCCGTGCGGGATAGGAATTTTATTTTCGAGTGCTGAAAGTATCTCTCACGAGTGAGCGAAGCGAACGAGTGAGAGATACTTTCAGCACGAGAAGATAAAATTAATATCCCTAAGCGGCCATGTAATGTTCTGTTTATTTTATATATACTGATGAAATTCCTACATAAAACAACTTTTTTTATTATTATTAATTTTGGAAACAGCAAAATGGTGCAATTAAAGCGGTCACCTATCGCAAAATGCCTGTCACAAAAATGTTATGAAACTCAGATATAAAGTTATAAAGGTGGAGAAATAAAGACAATAATACTTATCTGTTCCAAAAGTCAAAATTCTAATGAAGAACAACATATAACAGCAAAAGCGTATCTTAAAATAGCATCATGTTGTGAATTCTTGGCTACTGTCGCTTTCAAAAATGAGTCGCCGCTTCTTACGCTTTGGGTCAACTTTTTGCGGGAGCTAAGTTAATGTTAAAGACGCCTCCAGTTATGTAATTTCCGTGTAACATCGTTTGGAGTCTCTTCTCATTGAATTAATTTACAACCAAGGGAGATGAAGTGGTAGACGTTGAAGCGATTTGATACCGGGCCAGGGGTTGCGCTGTCAAGTTGTTTTCGGTCTGTGCGACGTTGGTAGCGGCTTTAGTTCTCGAGGAAACAATACGTGAAATACTTTCCATTTGCTTTTCTCGCAGACAACTGTAATTGTTAACTGACTGTAAGTTTTTATGCCCCGTTATTTGAATTATCTGGTTGAGAGGAACTTCACTGTACTGCAGTTTTTGCACTAAAGTTTTCCTACCACTGTAGTTTGTTTTGCCTGAAATTCCCGCCGCTTGTGTCACTTCTTTCATGATATTGCTGGTTTAACTTGTTCACTCCCATTGGTTGTGCTTTGAACCAGTTTTTGCCTTCCACTGACGCACGAATTTCTGTTTTAAAGTAATTTACAGACAAATAGAATCTTGAATCCGGTTCTAGTATGGATGGTGGTCGGTATTCTTTGTACAGCTTGTAAACGTGCACCGGATCACGATCGATAGAAATCAACTTCAACTTCAACTTCAACTTTATTCATTCACTTTCAATTTACAATTACACGATAGCTTCCACCCACGTATAGGAGAGCCTAATCGAGGCAGGGGAAGAGACACACAAATTTAAAGAAAGAAAAGAAAAAAAGAACTATTTTACAAACAGTACCAGCTGTCGCAAAATAAAACTATAGTATGTATTAAGCTAATTTAATTGCAATATGATTTACACAGAGAATATAAATTTAGTTGTGTTCCTGAGCTAGTTAAATTTAAGTTGATACATGATTTCAGTGATTTCAAGATAGTCATCAGATTTAGATAAAATTTCAAAGAGCTTATTCCTTATCTTTTTCCAAAAGGTAGATTTTGGTAAGTTTCTCATATCTGAGGGTAAAGAATTCCGTTGTTGGCATACATTCGCGGCTTGATCGGCGGTTGATTCCGTGGATCCTCTCCCGTTCGAGTCTTTGTTTGGCGTTCAAAGTACTCGAGATATTCTTTACCATCACTGTCAGTTTTTAAAACGATGTCTCCCCAGCGGAGTTCTTTTTGTTAGAACCTTACATTCGCGAAGACCAAAGCGAATCATGTTGTTTAGCCACACAGTATTTAACAGAGATTGCGGTGTACTTAATCCAAGCAAGTTTTTTTCAAAAAGAATCTCAATTTCGTCGTCCGTAAGAGCCGTTGTGGCTTTTGGTCTGTTCCCTAGTCCATGTCGCTTGAGTTGCTTTTGTTTCGCTTTCAACGCGTCTCTTGTTTTTTTTTTTTTTTCAGTGTCTTTGAAGATAGTCATTGCCGTAACTGGAGCGACTCAAATGGCGTTCAACACTAGCCAAAATTCCGCGGAGAGATGACGGTTCAAAATCTTTTCCAGTCTTGGTCCTTGTTAAAACAAACTGGCTCAAGTAGCTGTCTAATTCAGTTGGAGGAATCTTCTCTATTTCTCTGATTTCGTGGCGCTCTTCTAAAAGGTCTTTTTTTAGTGTTTACATTTTCTCCCCCCTCAATGAATTTTTCAACATCACTTTCCAAATGTTCTTCAAGCTCGGAAAAAGTATCTATGTGAAAATTTGGCAGCTCATCGAGAAAGTCACCGGTAACTGTATCGTCTTCGCACCTCGAAGCCATTTTGTGAATGAATGCGCGCCTGAGCGGGAAGCTCTCTTGTAATTGTCTAATCATTTTAGTGACCATGGCGACACCAATATCCTCACAAGTGAAAGATAAGAATAGTATCTTCACTGCGCGCGATGAAGATATGATTTTTTAGTGAAAGGAAAAATCCTGGTATTTCATCAGTATCTATATAATAAGTATAGGTAATTGCATGATTGGTAGTGATATTTGGCGTAAATACCACGAGTGATATTCGAAATTGTAATACGTAATTTCACGAGCCTTTAGGCGAGTGAAATTTGAGACAATTTTGAAATATCACGAGTGGTATTTATGCCAAATATCACGTAAAAATCATGCTATTATTTGTTTATACCACTACCCGCAAAAGGTTTGTAATTTTCACATGTAGGTATTTTAAATTAAGCTGAAATACCACTGCTCTAAGCCAATTAAATTGCAGAAATTTATCACGTTGTGGTATAAAATAATGTATCATTTATATATCCTTTACCATTAACAAAATACTTAATCAATTGACTTCATAATAGGACAATTGTACGATGACGTCATTTTACCCCAATTACCAAAATCCTTCAGTTTGTTGTTTGCTTCTGCAAGTTAAGGCTATTGCAGTTTTCTTTAAATTTCTAGACGATTCACAAATTTAGACAAGAATGCAAAAACGAAATGTCTTCTGAAAGTTGTAGTCAAATTTCGTCATGGTAAAAATGACCTTTTGACTTCCCATTTTCAGTTCCTTCACAAGCCCCTACGAACCTGGGTTTGACTGTCAACAACTCGACTAGTATTTCAGCGAACTGGCAGTTACCCGCCGGGATATCCCGAAATGGACCTATTACGGGATTTATAGTGTACTACCAGAAAAAAGGTGCCTCTTGTCCAGCGAACACTGTCACTATTGACGATCGAACTGTTCTCTCTAAGACGATCATGGGGATGGAGAAATACACAGAATACGATATTCAAGTCTCTGCATTCACCTACGCTGGGGAAGGACCGAAAAGCTCTGTTGTGACAGAAAGAACAAGTGAAGACGGTAAGACATGTGCAGTAAATGTAGGAATGGAAACACGTACATATACGATGCTTAGGCTAAGAATTCCTCAGTAGCCTGAGAAAACAGCCGACATTTGCGACGCCATGACTGGGTTCCCCGCGAAATGCTGTCTAAGAAACTAGGGCAGAAATTCAATTTTGATGAAAGGACCTCTGATTAGTTGAAAATGTGCCTTAACCAATCAGAGACACCACCAAGATCTGGATACGGTCGCGTCATGAGTATAGAATTTCGCTTCTCAGACGTCATTTCGAGGAGAAACCAGCGGTGGCGTCGTCAAATGTCGGGTTAAAACATTAATAAATAGCGACCATTACATTTGACTACGAGAACAAGATTGAGTAAGTCTACGGCTTTGGAATTTCGAGCGAGTGGTGTCCACGAAGCTCTCAATATTTCCTCCTGCTAACCAGGACATAGAGCTTCTTAAGATGAAAGGAACATTTTGATGGTTTTGTGACATGCTTTAATTTAATCCTCGACATGGTTTGAGAACTCGCTCTGACTCTCAATCTTCTACTTGGTCCTACTCCTAGAATCTAGTCGAGGGTATTAGACATGTGTGTGTTGTAACGGTTGGCAAGATGGAGATGGAATGAAACTTGAAAAAGTTAGGCCACCTTTTGTTAAGTTTTGATGCCATGCCTGCCAAAATCACCAAAGGAATATTATGATTAGTCCTCCCTGGTGAAATTTGTTTGATATCTTCTTCATATCTCTGAACGGAACACTGACATCTGAGCTCCTTTTAATAATTACACAGGCAAGTACTTTCACTGCAGGAATTCTTTTTGTAGAGAAAGGAATATTGTAGGTAACTGTCTTTACCTCCAAGAGAACTTTCTGTAATATAGACGTATCCTTTTTTGTGGATTATAAACATTATTACAACTTCTTTGTTAAGGTTTTTGAATGTTTCTTTTTCTTGTTAGCACCCAGCTTCGGCCCAGATAATTTCGTCATTACTGAACTGAATGAAACAACATTCAACATTTCTTGGGCTCCTCTACCAACGGAGAAGAGCAATGGGATAGTCGTTCTCTATGAAGCAAATGCGGAGTTAGTAGCCACGAGAGGGTGCTCACGGCGAACAGCTGCAAGCAGTAAATGTGTCAATACAACAAAAACCTTTGCTGTTTTGTATAATCTCCTCAATTGTTCCCAGTACAGTTTTTCCGTTCGGGCTTTTACTGCCGTCGGACCTGGGCCCTATGGTCCGGCCACACAGCTACAGACATCAAGTAAGTAGTCTGAATTGGCCATTTCCGAGTTCCAAAATCTCTCACTTTCAAGGAGGCAAGGTGTAAAACATTTCTTGTGAAAATAAGTTTCCTTGCATACGGAAAAAATCATTTTCGTATCAATGGCTTCGCACTAAGCCTTGCCGCTTTGAAACAGAGGCTGGTGGTAACTCGGAACTGGCTAATTTTCGACAAATGGAACTACTTTTCCCACGATGCAAGGAGAGGTTGGGAGCATGGAATCGAGAATTTGAACTTGAAATTTCAATCTAGATAACGTATGCACCAACAGGCGACCCAAGCTCGATGCATAAATTACCGCGAGTTTCGAAACTGCGTTATTTTTTTATTTTTTTATTTTTTTTTTCATATTACGAATTATTTAAAGAATTTGTGTGTGAAATTCAATATAATTTATGCACCGAGCTTGGACCGCCTGTGATACAACCAATCTTGTATTCATTTATCGTCTTTAATAAGGGATGTCGCGTTCTTGATCTCGTCCACACGCCACACAACATAATCATCGACCCACCTCCTTCCCTACTGCCGCTTCCTCCTTTTAGTAGTTGAGCAGCTTTGTAGCGGTTTGATTGTCCTTACCATCGCAAGAAATACATATTTCATGGAAGCCTGTTTTGACATTTATATCAAGTATTCGGACCCTGATAAACAAGCGATGTTTTAACATAAAATGGCTATGAGAAATTTACATATTCCAAAAAAGCCAGTTTCGCCACCGTGGACTTAATATTGCCTTTACCAACAGTAAGATAATAAGTTCCTTACTCTATTCAAGAAATTAAAGCGTATAAAATTTGTTCCCACTTTGTTGCTACAGCCAGAAAGTTTAAAGTGCCATGAAGTAGAGCCATTTTTATTAGAAACTGGGAGCTCTTTTTGCAAAAAGAGATAGAAACAATAATAAAATATGATAATAATAAAATGTGTTAACAGCTGTCAACTTATACCATTGTTTGGGCCTCAGGCGAAAAAAGGGCTTCTTTTTGAACATAAAGTATTTGAATAGATCTGGAGTTTCAATGCAATTAAAGATGGCGACAAAGATGTTTACCCTCCCATCCCTGACCCCTCTCTCCAGGTCAAGTGGCGGCTTACAATGTGGCTTGCATGCCACGCAAGTTCATCCATTTCAGCTATTTGTAATTTGCCCGGATTTATTGCCCGTATGTGTTCTCTCCAGCGCCAGCCGCACCCAGTTTATTAAAGGCAGTAATGTCTGAAGAAACGAAAGTGACGCTGGAATGGACACCACCAACAAATGTTCCAGTGGAGGGCCTTAAATATAAGGTGAGAGGTAGTTAAAGGGAACTCACTTCAAGTCTAACAGAATACATTGAATGAGGTAGCTGTCGATCTCTATCTACTTTGTATCTTTATAGTGGAGCTCTCACGCGCTGTAGCGCGCGCAGTGGAGCACCATCGGCGGGGAAAAATGGTAAACTTTATACAATGTGATAAATATTACGAGGGCTGTGATTGGTTGCTTCTCATAATCTGTTGGAGAAAAGGCACATCAATGACGTCACGGGGAACTTGTTTTCTTTGTTTTGTCCAGCATGGCGCGCGTGTTTGAAAATGTCTTCGTGATTATTCTGTTTTTAAGGAAATGAAGGCCTTTAAGACCTTTTGTAAGAACTGTAAACAACCTCTTTATACTAAAATTTAATGATATTCATTTGCTTCAACTAGGCCAATTTATGTATTCTTGCAAAAATTCATTCTTACCTCCAAGGTTTAATAACAATTTCTTTCAAAGCAATCAATTCCACTCTTACAATACATGAAATCCCAGGTCTACCGTCTACCGTATTGTCGTACAAACACTAAGAAGTTCTCTCCCTTTTTTCAAGAGCCTAAGTTTTTTAATTCACTTGACAACGAGGTCATCAACTCTCAATCCCTTTCCTCCTTTAAGAAAAAACTGAAGATTAAATTATTGAGTAGGTATGAAAACAGTTCATAAATCTTTCCATTTTCGACTTCTCGCCATCTTTTCTTCATTTGATGTGAAAGAGCTCTAGCCCGTAGTTCGAGGAGGCCTAACCTCTCATAAGCTTCTATAGTTTCTGTTAGGTCTCCTCGCCACTTCTTTTTTCTTCTTCTCCTATATTTTTTGTAATTATTGTGTGGCAAATAAAAAGAGAGAGATAAAGAAGAAAAGAAGCGTAAACGAAAAGTACCGTTTGTGACCAGCAAAAGCCTTAAACTGGCACACTGGCACAAAACCTCGAACAGTAACGGTGCGATTCAAGTATGTCGTTTTCTTTTTTTCAAAGCTGGAATTTCATTCATTGCGCAAAAAAAGCAAAACAAATCAAAAATGGGTAAATG